CAAGTATGGATGTCAGCTATATACGTCCAACTGTAACCCAGGGGAAAGAGTGGCTCGAACCACCAAATTATATTATCAACAAAATGTATGTAAACCTCCAAGTGTTTGCTCATTCCAAAATTCCTGAATTCTCTAAGGAAGCTTTATACAACGTATGAATCATAGGGTATTACTCAAATGGTATACTAAGAAATTCAGATACCAGACTGTTAATTTGCTTTTGCATTCACTGAATTAGATGGCCATTGTAAGATTAGAAGGCATTTGTTCTAATCTCTAGAACAGTAGCAGGAATGGCTAATTTGGAGAGCACTCTTGGACATGAGCTATCCTAAATCATTGATCCCTGTCTGTGATAGTATTTCAGTTCATAAGGATTACACTATTGGGAGAATTATCAGGGTGACCCAGGATCCTATTAAGGAGATTGCTTTAATGCATGGCAATTGAGCAGGATTCATATGGACACTGTTCATTAATCATTTTGTAACAAGATTATGAGGCAAGGCTATCTAGATATAGAAGATATTGGAGATAAAGATTGTGCACTACTAGTCTTACTTATGTAATCTTTTTTTGTATTGAAGCGAGTTTTATTTTAAGATACATATCAAATAAAGTATATATTTTTGAATTAATTTAACCAAAGAGTGGGACTGTACAATATAACCCTAGGTACATTTAGGTTATTTAAGTTTCTAAATTTTGACAGGTGGTTAGTACACAAGATAAGTACACAAAGGGGACTTCTTTGAAAACAGGTGGTAGTACACAACAACATTTGGAGTATCTGGTGATAGTACACTGAGTGGCCAGAATATTATGGCCACCTGATGTTTGTAGGCAAATTAGCTATAATTAGCTATAATTTCGCGCTGAAGTTGCTAGAGGGCCAGACCATTATACATAGGGAAGCAGGTTGTTTACCACATCAGTAGAAGTGATTTATTTCTGAAGATATTGGTAAACAACGCGATTTAACAGCCTTTGAACGTGGGATGATTGTTGGCGCTTGGAGCCATGGAGTGAGTATCAGCAAAACAGCAGAATTCGTTAAATGTTCAAGAGCAGCTGTTGTTAAAGTGTTTAAGGACTGGACTTGCAGCCAAAAATCTGGGTCTGAGCATGCGAATTGTGGCCGTCAGCGACTGTCAATGTTAGGGCAGAACGGAGAGTGGCAAGACTGGTACAAGACAACAGAAGGGCAACAGTGCAGTGTCAGATTCCTCGCATCACCTTTCAACATCTCGTGGAGTCACGAGGCGGCCCAACGAAGTCATCTCGTGGAGTCATCTCGTGGCCCAACGAAGTACTGACGGGGTGGTCATATTAATCTGGCCACTCAGTGTATATCCTCTGGGGCATCCTTTGTGGATGCACACCAATCCCTTTTGGTAAACAGAACAAATGTAATCTCAAAAAGGCTGATATAGACCATTTTTTAATTGAATAGGAGTTTAATCAAGAAATGAAGGTGATTAATCTTTCCTCTTAGTTGTTATCACTGCATGAGGTTAGCCTTCTATAAAAGGACCTTACTTCATTTTGCCTGGACAAAACATATAGATACATTTGATACTATTAAGGATCTACACCTTTTTGGGAGAAAGATTTTGTTAAAAAAATGTATACACCACCAGAAGAATGATTTGCCATTACAAAGTCAAATTGTGAATTGGACAGAACTGAGCAGGGAGGATTATAAATATCTGAAAATTCTTATGGAACTGTGGGTAGGGGGCAATGTGAGGGATGATCTATCAGAGGTATCTGATACACCTATTAAGATGGCAATGGTCAAGATATGTTTTTAGACCAAAATCTATATCCTTTCTGCCACTGTCCGTGTGTACCAGCTTAGCCTCCTTTGTCAGGTAGGTTGCAAAAGATATTGATACGTTGTCTACTAATTCACAAGCAGGTGATAATTTGGATCCAGCTGAAAGAAGGGCTTTGAATTAATCATCAAGAAATGGTTTTATAGAGATTAAGCCAGCTAACAAGGGCAGCAACACAATTTTACATGCAATAATAGCAGACACACTAGGTCATTGATTCGGAGTACACCTTATGGACAGTATTTAAGAATTTTAAGACAGCGATTTTTATATGGAGACTGTGGGCTTGCGGAAAAGCCTTAGGGAACATGGATATTAAGCTAAGAGATTGCATAAGACCTTTAAAAGGTTTTAGAAGGTAGGACTATTGGTTCTGGAAAATATTTATCTAGGAGCCAACGGTATGTACACAGCTTGACTGGGCAGCAATGTAAGAGGGAGAAACAAGGCAGGTTTACAAAAAAAAACTCTCAGATAATAATTACAGCAAATTATGTCAGTTAATTACTGGGACAAGAGGCAGACATATTTCAGAGACACACTGTGCATCAGGTAAGCCTTTTTTGTGGGCCGAATTTGAAGAGGTAGAGAAGAGGCATTTTTATCCAGAAAAAGAAATTACATTGGATTATGCCACAGGTTGTTCCACAGACAAAAAGCAGAAATATTTTACAGACGTATGTAAATGTATTTTTAGTAGGCCATATTTCAGAAGTGAAATATAGGGCACTTTTTATTTAGAAATAAAAATTGCATTGGATTATTCCACAGACAAAAAGCAGAAATGTTAAACAAACACACATATGCCTTTTTAGTAGGCCACATTTGAGTACTAAGAGACAAGGCACTTTTTATTTAGAAATAAAAATTGTTAATGGATAGCAGACCAGCAGAAGTGTCAGAAGATGGTAATGATTGGCAGGTCAGCAGTGATGGCAAGACATTGTAATGGTGGCAGAAGATGTTTATGGATGGCTGGCCATTAACTGTGGCAAGAGATGATAATGGATGACAGGCCAGCAATGGGGACAAGAAATGGTAATGGATGGAAGGCCAGCAGCGGTGACACGAGATGGTAATAGTGGCAGGAAACCCTCCTTCTCTTGCTTCTCCTGTGACTGGGGCAGCCTGGGGCAGTGACAGAGTGAGAAGAAAGCAGGCCCCGGGACAGCAGTAAGTTCTCTTCTTCCTCCTGCTGTTGTGCCTCCATTGCTGGTTTATGCATTGTGTGCTCCAGGAGAAACACGAGGGAGATTGTGTCGCTGATCCTTGCCTTGTCATCATGGCTCACCATTCTGGTCACCTCTTTGAATGGTGACAACATGGTACACATGTCCTGAATGAGGAACCACTGCTATATGGAAAATACACCCAGTTCCCTGAAGTGGCTGCACCATCTTTTAGCCTGCTACAGAACATCATGGTAGTCAAGCTACTTAACACTAGGTAGTGGATGTGTCCCAGGCAAAGCACGTGTGCAAACTTTCCATGGTGATGTCTGGGCAGCAGGTTGGTGCCATTGTCACACACGACTTTTCCTGGCACAAGATGGAATGGGGACAACCTGTCCCTGAAGAGCTGAGAGAATCTTGGCCGCAGTGTGGCTATTGTCCCCCAGGCATACCAGCTGCAAAACAGTGTGGCTGCATTTTGCATAGGCTGTTAAGTAGGCTCTTAGTCGCTTGTGTGGGAGTGGTGGCTCTTAGGATTCACCAGATGAGGCCAATGTGGGGGAGAGGATAGCGGTTACTGAGCTGTCACCATCACTATGTTGTACAACATGGAGCAGCACCACCAGCTCCATCAGTGTGCCCTGTCCTTCATCCTTCCTGGCTGCCAGTAAATTGATCCAGTGGGCAATGGACAACAAATAACTCCCCTGTCCATGCTTGCTGGACCGTGTGTCTGTGGTCATGTGGGCCCTGTCATTTACCACGTGATCCAGCGATAAGGAGACATTTGCTTCCCCATGCTGATGATGACCACCTGTCACTGTGGTTTAGTACAGGCCACACATTTGCGGAAGGGGACAAACTCCACTAGATGAAAGGAGAGTGGCTGTAAATCCAGCAATTTTGCCAAGCTTGCATTGAGACTCTGGACATGCGGGTGACTTACTGAATATTTTTTGTCTTTCGCTCCAGCACCTGCCTGCTCAACAATGTAACTGGAGTCGGTAGGGTGGGGCTTGGAAACTTTGAGCAATGTTGAAGGCTATACTGGGCCCCACTAAATGTAGGTGCATGCTGACCCTCTTCCCTGCTTGATGTGCCATAACCTTTTTCTCTCACACTGTGCTGTTACATCTATTGCATGAAAATGTGATACAATGCATAGTCATGGTTAATATTTACAGCATATTAATGTGAAGTGAGAATTTATATAGTTAATTTTCCTTAAGCATTGTTCATTGGCACTGGTATAGTTGGTTTATACACTGCCATCTTGTAGGCATTTTGGTTATTGGACCAGTCTTTTCTGTATTCCCTCCCCTTGTGTGTGATATACTTGCTTTCTTCTTCACATTGTCTTTATGGCATCAAAATGGCTGCTTGTGTCATGGCCACTTGTATATATGCTCACATGGGAGAAAGTATCCTGTTGTCTGTTGTAACCTGCTGCATTCAATAAAGATATTTGTGGATGATAAGGTATTTAGTGAGTTTAGCTATCTGATAAAGACTGTCGGCAGTGATTGTATCTGCTTATACAGGCCAGGCATAGAGGTCTCAGCAAGAGATAAATCACTACCTCGTCAGACTCCCATCCCTATCACATGAGGCTGCAGATATTGCAGCAGATGGAGATTCATGTAAACTGGTGAAACAGGTGGAAAGAGAGGGGCGAGAAGGATTGTGGTCCTTTTGCTGACGAATAGTAGCATTCATGTGCTGCTTCCACCGAACTCTGTGGTGAACAGCCATGTGTCTCCTCATGCATGTGGTACCGAAATGACTGGTAGATTTACCATGTTTGCAGGTGCGGCAGGCAGAGGCTGGAAACCACTACAGTGCTGTCTGCAACACATGTATGAAAAAAGGACCACACTGCTGAGCCCTGAGGAGTGGACCTAGGGATTCCAGTGGCCTGCACCTACAGTATGTGTGACCTTCAGTAGAATAGGGCAGCTGCTCCCTCCACCCCTTTTTTTAAGATGCCACTTCATGACAACCTGCTTTGATGATGCTGTGTCTCTCCTTCACTTTCCTCCTCTATATTCCTGGGCACCCAGGTACGAACTGCCACTTTATCATCCCCATCACTGGAACCCAGTGCAGCTGAAGACTCATCACTGTCAACTGATTCTTCCTGCCTGTTGTTCCCTCCCTCTTCCTGAAGATCTGATAAAATGAATTGTTGTGCATCCTCCTGCAAAAAGCAACATTGTATAAATCTGTGCTCGCAAACTACTAGCACTGCACAAGTGACACAAACTGTCTCCCCCTTACAAAGCTGTTAGCTATCACTTAATAACTCCAACACAAATTGACAATAGGATTCTGGGAGAGCTGACATTTATAGGGAGGAGGCTGGCACATTTTTAAAGCTTCATTATTGGCCATAATTTTTTCACTGAGTTAGTTTTATAAGAGTTCACAGGTCAGGAAATCCTTTTGGCACCTGAGTGAACTTGGCCATAAGTTCGCCATTTGGAAGAACATGCAAAGTTTTCCACAAAACCCAGCTCAGCTGCGAACCTCATCCCTACTTAAAAGCTTTGTCTTCAATACCATCCTTCTTGCCTATCACACGTATATATTTTGTTACTTAGAATGGCTGGCATAGACAGTGAGCCTGTTTACTGCCTGAGTGGGATCTGTGTCAGGACTTATTTATGGTACACCAGTCAGCACTATATGCTTGCTTGGTGCTGCAGTTAGGGTAGTTATCACAGATAAATGATCATGTGCAAGCAGAGTGTTGAAAGGGTTTGCAGACTTTTTTTCTGGCACATACTGTTGTGAACTAGGCATATATCTAGGAAAAGGCTTACATCAGAAGTGTCCAAGTAGATTGAAAAGCTCAGTCTTGGCCTGTGTTATTTAAAATAAATGTAGTGTAGTGGGACATTTTCCAACACACATTTGATTTCTTGCCCAGTAACACAATAAAAACTCATGAACTTTGCTTCCATATTTTGCCAATATCTCAATTTACATACATCAACTGACAGAAATATACCTCTCATAAGCAGTATATTTTCCCAGTTGTATATACGCTCATCTGCTCCTAGTAATTAGGGATGAGCTTCGCGTTCGAGTCGAACCTATGTTCGACTCGAACATAGCATGTTCGAGCGTTCGCCGAACACCGAACATTATGGGATGTCCACGGTCTGTTCGACCGCGGCACATCCCACAATGCACTGCGCCGTCCGAAGCGGCAATTGGCTACAGTCCTGCACCTGACCGAAGGTCAGGTGCAAGACTGTGCCAATCAGGGCTCAGTACAAATATAGAGCCATGATTGGGCAGAGTCACGATGACTCTGCCCAATCATGTCTCACAGCTAAGTCCCTGCAGCACACTATATAAGGCTGCTGACACCGCGGCCCTGTGTAGTGTGTTGAAGGAGAAAATTTTACCTTTGGGGGTCACCACTACTTGGCAAATGTTACCAAGGGGTCCCGGCCCTAGAAAGGTTGAGAACCACTGTACTAGAGGGATAGGCAAATACAAAGAGCAAGGTTCCTCTAGCGTTGCCAGCCAACAACTATTTCAAATCTGACTGTCACAGGGGTGATGCTCCTCCTCAGATTGGAAGGCTTTCATCCAACATGCAAAGAAGCAAACAAAGAAAAGCGCCCATCATGTGAAGAACTGTTGGTTTATTGTAAGACTTTAAAAACGGACAAAAAGGCTACCCACCAGCGTAGCAGCATGTAAAGGTTTTCCAAATGCAATAGATATTACAAGTCATCCAGATGAATTGTCACAGACCTCATTCCGATGCCCCAGGAAACGTGTCAACCATCACAATCTCAGCCGATGCCGGTGCTTACAAACCCGGACTGAGGTCTGTGAAAATTCGTCTGGATGACTTGTAATATAGATCGCATTTGGAAAACCTTTACATGCTGCTGCGCTTGTGAGTAGACCTTTTGTCTGTTTTTAAAGTCTTACATTAAATCAACAGTACTTTACCGGATGGGCGCTTTTCTTTGTTTGCTTCTTTGCACTAGAGGGATAGTGCTAAGGGGACACAAGACTAAACAGGATATTCAGCAGAACTGATGGTTTCATCTCAAGGAGTGTAACTATAAAAAGTTACAATTTCTTAACCAAAACCAAATGTTTTGCCATATGAAGGTTCATTGAAGATATGAAAAATGTATGGCAATATACTAAATACTTCCACTTAATGCAGAAGAGTTGTTAAACGCATAGAAAAATGGCTTTACACTGACCTTGAATGTAGCAAGGTAATTTACATTGACCACCAATGTAAAAGGGGACTTTATACTGATCATCACTGTAAAGGAGGAACTCATACTGACCTCCAATGTTAATGGGAAATTTACACTGACTGCCAGTGTAATGGCAAAATTAATAATTTAATAATAATTAATAATGTAAGATTTAAAAGGGGGTGGAGGGATTTTAACAGACCACCAGTGTAAAGGGGGAATTAACACTGACCACCAATTTAATGGGGGAGGGTACACTGACTGCCAATGTAATGTGGGGGTTTACACAGATCAACAATGTAACAGATGCATTTATACTGACCACCAATTAACATCCATCATCAATGTAACGGGGAAAATTTACAATAACCACCAATGCAATGGAGGTATTAATACTAAACAATTTAATATTAGGCACATTGGTGGACACTTTAAATACCCCCTGCTATATTGGGGTTCAGTGTAATTAAAGGAGAACTATGAGGTGAGTGCTTTTCATTCACCTCATAGTTCTAGCCGACCTGTGACAATGAGACTGTCACAGGTCGGCTCAGTAGATCGGGAGGTGAGCGAACACATACCGGCGTTCGCTCACCTCTCGATCCTGTCACAGCTCTCTGCTGTGACAGGGGAGGGGACGGGTACAGCTGGCTCTGTCTCTAGATAGGCAGAGCCAGCTGTCACTCACGCAGCTGGGCGGATCCAGACATAATTGTCGGGATCCGCTTCAGCTGCGGCGTCTCAGTATACTGCGAGCAGTAGCTCGCTGTATACTGTGGCGTCTCAATATACCGCAAGCTGTAGCTCGTGGTATACTGAACTTAGGGTGACGGGAGGACGCTAGTTTGTGTCCTCCCGTTACCTTAAGGAGAACTATGGGGAAAAGCCTTAACCCCATAGTTCTCCTTTAACTCCATTATATTGGTGGTCAGTGTAAATGCCTCAGCTACATTGCTGGCCAGTGTAAATTTTATTTTCCATTGGTGATCTGTGTAAATACTCCCTGGTACAGAGGAGTCTATGCTGAAAGCTAGTGTGCCAGGAAGCTGTTGTTAGGGGGAGGGGTCTGATGATTCCTCCCATTACAGCAACTGATGGGGTCTGAATATAACCAAGGCTCATATTAGAGGGAATGATGGCTGCTGAATAATGTTGTTAGTTAAAACTTATCTAATCTCAAGAACAAAAATGTAATATTGTATATTTATTACAGGCATCTATATACCACTGACAGTTTATGCAGTGCTTTACATTGTGCACATTCACATCAGTCCCTGCCCTCAAGGAGCTTACAATCTAAGGACCCTATCTCAAATGCATACATATGCATACAATTTAGACAGTGGCCAATTACCCCATCAGCATGTCTTTGGCGTGTGGGAGGAAACCCATGCAAGCACAAGGTGAACATCCAAACTCCTTGCAGATAGTGCCCTGCCCAGGATTTGACCCAGAGACCCTTAGGACCGCAAGGCAGAAATGCTAACCACTGTGCTGCCTGTATTTTGCAGCCTAACAGTCCTTAGATGTAGTGACTGCATTTCTTCTCAAACTTTTTTTCATTGCTACCACCTGCTGATTCTGCCAGTAACATACTTCCTGTCCTAAGGTTACAATGTTCATTCACTATACTGTACTTATAGAAAAGCAGTGCTGTAACTAGAGGGGCATCGAAATGAAAATGTTGAAACTGAAACTGAAAATAAAAAAATGTGAGGCTGAAACTGAAACCTTTTTACAATTTTTAAAATACTTGATTTTATTTTTTTTATAAACTTAATTTTTTTTTATATTTTATTTTTATTTATTCTTTATTTATTTATTTTTATTAAATATTTTTTAACTTTACTTTTAGGGGCTTCGGGGAAATATTAGGTGTCTAAACAGACACCTGATGTTTCTCTTTTAAAATAGAAAAAGAGATTGATGGCACAGAGTCCATACTCTCTTTTTCTGCAGCCCCTGTTATGAAGGAACAGGAAGCCTCTATACTGAGTGTTCCTGTTCATTCATAACTTGTGGAGATAGTATGTTTACCATGTCCACAATCATGAATGAACAGGAAGTGCTGTAGATCACTTCCTATTAATTCATAACTGATACATAGTAACTATGTCCAGTTAATTACAAACAGTCGGCGATTAGCTGTTTTCACTGACTCTTTCTACCGATCTCCATCCTGACTCCTTGCCACAGCTGAGCCGGCGGTGCGGGTAGAAGAGCTTGGTCTATTTTGACAGCTGACTCCTCCCTCTTACTGCAGGCTTGGGCTCCTGTGAACGCGCATGGCTGTCTCTGCCCCCACACCGCTCTCCATCCGGATTGGTCAGAGTGGGCTGAGCCTGGCCTCCTGTGACACGCTAGGTGTTCACATCGCTCTCCTCCCCCGCACTGCTCGGCCTCCTCTGACAGTTTCTCTCCCCCCTGCTGAATGCTGTGCTGTGTCAGAAGGGACACAGAGCAGCGCACAGCAGAGCGGAAATAAACTATGGATGCACTACAATTTCGGGTGACAGATGGCACTTTTGGCGTTTTGCCAAAAGTGCCATTTTCAGCCGATATGTTTCGCTGGCTGAAATTTTGGTGCATCACTAGTTGTAACCCTAGTGCTAGAAGTGTGCAAGGACTACAGAATCTCTCCCCCTCTCCCTATCTGCATAACATGGTTGGAGGTGTCCTGAAGTGCAGAAAAGAGAACTGGGAAGTTTGTTAATATTGTTTGAGATTTCAATTTAGAGCACAGAATGTTAATAGAATAATGGATTTCTGCCAGCATCAATGGGTATATTTGGTACTTGCAGACATGTACTTATCCTGCAAAAAAAACAAAAAACCTAATGCAGCCACCACATCTAAGTCCTGGAAAGCTACAATATATACAATGTTCTTGGGTTTAGTTATACTTTAATACAAGTTGCTTTGGCAGCACAATGTGGTTTTGCTGAGTGAAACGATGGGTTTTCTATGGCAGTCTATGTTCTTGCAGGGTGATATAATGTGCTATTGTAGTCTGTATTCCTACTGAATGGTATAATGTAGTTGCTGGTCGATGCAGTTTGCAATTACAGTGCAATATGTTCTTACGACCATTTACATAACAATGTGCTGTTGCAATGCAAGGTGGTATGGTTATGTGACAGTGACATACTAGGCTCAATTCATTAATTATAGGCAAGTTATTTTTAATCAATTCGCTATTTTATATGACATTCATCTCCTATTAATGATCAGTTCAAAAACATAAATATAATTTTTGTGTGGATTGTTTTCTATTTGTTTTCTATTTTCTATTGTTTTCTATTTGTTTTCTATTTGTATTTGTTTTCTATTTGTTTTGCATGAAATGAGTATTTTCTCAAAGATCATTATTTTTTATCTCACCATTCAGTGATATAAGGTAAGAGTTACTTGCCATTATGATATTTATTAAAGTCACGTCAATGTTAATCTTCAGTTCTGATTGGTCCTCATTGCTGAAAATAACGATTATTATAGCAGGGATGGGGGGCATGTTTTCTGCACAGGGACCCCTTGTAAATTTTGACTGCCACTGGTTCCCAGGTATGAAGGTAAGTCAGTAATAAGGAAAAGATCAGCTGTAGGAAATACCCACAATCATTACATATGACTCATTCTTTGCCCTCTGCTTGCGCTTTCTTGCGCTCAGATTCCACAATTCAGGTAATAGACTGTAAAAAAAACATTGCAAACTGTCATAAACAGAAGTCAAACACATAAACATGAAATGTCCACTAATGTCCTTTTTAAATAATACATCCAAAAATTCAAATACCGTAGAATAGAACATAAATACAGAGAGATGGAATGCCGCTTAATACACAGACCAGTGTAGGCTTTTTCAGGAACTGGTCTGAATTAATCCTGATCAGCTTTCTCAGATGTCAGTCATCAAAGCCGGTAATTCCAAATGATGATCTGTGATGTGAAGCATGTGTGTCTATTAATAAAAAAAAGCGGAAGCTGTTTACAACATATTGCACAGTGTAGTGTTGTAATGTGTACAACAATTTCTCACTGCCAATTCAGAAATATTTGTGTTTTTCCATTCGTCTTCAAATGATATTGTCCCATTGGTAATGTTAGTCCTGTATTAATGAGAAAAAAGAAAGAAATCACCATAAAATCATTCAACAACAAAACCATGTTAACTGCCTAAGCCCGTATGGAAAACCCAGTTTGGACCCCATACAAACAACAGGTCACACTGCCAGTGACATCACTCACAAAAAACTTGATTCCACATGGCAGACTACAGAGTACACGCTGCAGTCCCTGCCTAGGCACTGCCCCACTGACGCATTTAACCTTAGTCGCAGCGACAGTATTGAACCCAGTTTTGCAACTTGGAATGTGTAAGTAAAACTGTACATATCTTTGCAACTACTTAGTATATACGGGTGCAAATTTGGGGCTTCACTTAGTAGTAAATGTTAATGGATAGCTCCTGATTTTGTTCCACTATCAGAGGAATACTGCCCAAAAACTGCATATTTTTTGCCATTATCATGACCCACCATCAAAAAAACCCAGAATAAATTCCCGTGTGCATTATTTGTTGTTTGTACTCATAGTAGGGCCCAGAAATAATAATACTGCACATTTTGCCTTCAGAGAGAGAACAATTAATCCTAATTGGCTGTCACACTGATCACATAATTGGAGGCCCATCCTACTAGGTATTGATCATCACTCGGTGACACCGCAGTCACAGTGCTGGGGGCATATGACTGAGTGTGCTGCGGTCACAATGCAGCGACACATATATGTGTCAGCACAGAATAAGTCCCACCTTATACTGCCACATGCATATGGCTGGTCAGCAGGGTTAATTGATATTGATTGCCATAGGCCATCAACACATTTATTGCACAATGGTCAAAGGCAGCATATTAAAAACCTCCCCAGCATTGCATTTACTCAGGTAAAAAAGTGCATTCAACACTCTAACATCCATTTAGATGATAATCAAACTTACTTTGTGTAGATGTCATTACAGCAGAAATATAGGTTATATGTTTTGTTATTAAAAGCCTCAGCGGTGCCGAAGAAGCCCACGCAGTTTATTTTAGTTTCGTTATATAAAATTCCTGGAATAAAAAATGCTTTTGTTATTTTGAATTTTAGTATTAGGCAAAAAGAACATAGAAAAACTTTGTGTGAGGTCATTACACCCATGAAGTGAGATCTTCAGGGCCAAGTGCTCAAATGAAAAAAAAAACCTTTACTTGTTCTCAGAAATAATATCTGTTTTATAAAGAAAATACACACACAATGACTGTCTGCATTACAATCAACATTTAAAGCAGAACTCCAGGAATGCTCTTTTATGGATACTTACATTAGTCCAAATTGGCTCAGTAAAAGTATCCATATCTGATATCCAGAGGGTCGCTAGGGATGCTAAAAAGAGTGCAGTAAGTCACTTGCAGGGCACTGCCACTATTCAGAAAATGCCTTTTATTTTCTTAATTGAATACATGGTGTTCTGTGATAGGTTGAAGTGAATCAGAGAACGCCTTGCTTTATTCAGAAAAATACAAGGCGTTATCTAAATGACGGTGTTGACCTGCAAGGAACTCTTTGTGCTTCATGCACAGAGGAGAAGCCACCAGAGCCGCCGGCGGAAGATTCAAACGCTGACTGTATGTAATGCTGCCTAGTAAAGATATTTTTGCTATCCCCAAAGGCCCTAGGGAGAGCAGATATGAATACTTACACTGAGCCAAGCTAGACCAATGTGAGTATCTATAAAAGACCATTCTTGGAGAAAATGATTTTTTTTTTTTGTTTCAATAATTTTTATTATTTTTGACATAAAAATAAAACTCACACAATACAGTTGCAGGTATAAGGCATGAGATACAGTCATTTCGTCTGCTGCAATTGCAAGTTGGTTGCCATGTTGCTTATAAATAGCTTTAAGGTCGAACAAAATAAGTAAGCATCCCTAAGGTGTTTATCGTAGAGGCCAAAATGCCTTATCCAGACAACCAAGATTGAGAGAAAAGAATAAAGAACAGAAGAAAAAGAGGGGTAAGGGAGGGATTGGGACAGGGTGGGGGGGAAGAGAAAGAGATAAAGAAAAGAAGAAGACAAGAAAGACACAGTCGAATCACATTCAAACTTCCAATGAAGTGTGCTCAACTGCATTACAAACAGTGGGGGTTCCCAGGGCACCCGGACACGAACTAGATTATAGAGTATGCAAATATAAATCTTAAACAGAACCTGTAAATTATAAACATTAAAACTTTAAAACTAAACCTCCCTACATCACCAAATGAAGTTGTGCCGCTAGGCGAGTGTGTTGTGAGGTTCCGAATTGGGTTTAAGCTTGTAAGGTTCGTGTCCGGGTGTAGTGGAGCTCAATCAGATTGCGGCCATCTTGGTTGGCTGCTCACTAGCGCCCCCGGAGAAAATGATTTTATTAGAGGAACATTAGCCAAACAATAAGAATCTGACTCCTTCCCTTTCACAGCAAAATGGGGCCTTGGGCAAAAATGTTCCCTGTATGCTAGAATATACTAATAGATCTGAAGCTCCTGGCCACAAAGCTTCTTTTTCCCCAAGCTTCATTGATTCTAATTATTATTGCTTGACAATCATATACTCTTACATAATCCTCCTAGCATGATGCCAATGGAGCTAATATTGGTAAATCCACATAGGGCCAGCTATAGGGTAAGAAACATATACAGTACTGTAATGCACATAATGTTTTCTGGTACTTTTGACAGAACTCCTCAATGCTGACATGCGGCATTGTAATAAATGCCAAGGGGTAAATTATTATCTACATTTTTCAACTCCATAGATCTGACATTGCAGTGTTTTACACCATATGTGTGTATTTCTGTAAATGCTTATTAGCCCAGCTCCTGACAAAACATTTTATTTAATTTTGGATAGTGGGTGGAAGGGTTACCATTTTTTTTAAGTTTTCATTGCTACCAGTGCCATTATTGAAGAGATTTCTTCCTGTCAGGGCAGGAATTGATAAAAAATCTTTCCAACAGTGACACAAAAAAACAACACATTTTATTACTGTGTGATAATAATAATACTGTGGGTTTCTCATATATTTTTTTATTGCTGTCTGTGACTTCCAGTTTCAGTGAGTGTCTTGTATGGGTGCCACAGTGACAGGAAGTAAGCAAACATCTTCCCAGTGGGGTAACAGAATTTAAAAAAACCCCAGTAAGTTTAAAATGTTCCAACCCTGTCCTAAACTAACAAAAATGAGCTAGGTGAGCTAGTAAGCAGTGGCAGCTCCCATATCATAAGGTTTGTTCACTATTGTTCTTACACTACAGAACACCTTCTACCAGCATCAGAAGACAGGCTTAAACCTACCTGCAATACAAGCATTGACGAATGAGACACAAGCTCCAGTCATCAGAGCACGCACCACAACCTTGGCTAGATCACTTTTCCGTTGGGGTGCCATGGAAGCTGAGAGATACAATAAATGCATAATCATTTTGATGGCATGCTAAAGTGCTATAGATTTTATAACTTTTTGCAGATCAAAAACATAAGGCCCCTTTCACATGAGTGCCATCTACTCTGATCAGCAGAGAATCCATGCACAGATCCCCTGCTGATTGGATCACAACAGAACAGATGTCACTCTTGTGACATCTGTGTCCCTTTAGTTTTTTTCCTCTATGGAGGAAAATTACCTCCAACTCATTACGATCAAGTCTGCCAAAACATAACTCCGTTTAATTTTTTTTAGATCTAGACAGTCAGGGATAATTGGATGCAAACAGACACACGTCCATTTAGATCCGGCTGCTCATAGACTAACATTGAGCTTCGATCAGATCCGCCTGAAAAACTGACATGACCTTATTGGACCGCTTGTGTGAAATTGGCCTAAATCTTTAGGATATTCATTCAGCATGACTTTTACAAACATATACTCTTACATAATCCTCCCAGCATGATGCCAATGGAGCTGATATTGGCAAATCCACATAGGGCAAAGGTAGTGATGACCTCCGCTCTCTCCTGTAAAAAAAAATGGTTTTAGAATATGTTTCTGGCAAAAAATGGCAATTGCACCAAACATCCTAGGCATCGCCACGTGCACCAGAGAGCGAGCAATAGCTGTAGGGCCAATATTCATGGATAACTCTAAACTGATCACCTGTACAGACTTTTAAAGCATCATCTATGGATAATTTGGGGTATTGTATTTTTTCACTGTTTCACGGATGCACACAATTTTTAAGCTTGGCATGCTGGGTATCTATTTAATTGGTACAACCCCATATTCTATATTTTGCAAAAATCGGGTATTAAATTGTGTTTTTGTGCACTAACTTTAACTTTTAGTGTATTGTTTACTGAAATGTTGGATTTGCAACATACAAAATTGCAACCAACTGTCATCATTTTATTCTTCAGAGTCTCTGCTTTCAGAAAATATATAATTTTGGAGGTTGGGGATGAGAAGTTTTCAGGCTTAAAATGTGGATTAAGACATGTGTGCAAAATTGGCTCTGGCAGTGAAAGGGTTAAAATATGGTTTGATTATGCATTAACTAATACTCACAGTTATCCACTGCCTGGATCCATCCAGCCATTCATCGTCACCTCTCAGTCGACTAGCTTTGTAGTCAGCCAATTGTCTATATGCCACAAACTCATTCAGAATGATCTTTTTTCCCAGCATCTTACCAACTGGGCCAGCCTCATCCCACTGTACTCCCATCATGAAGGCCACAGGCATGAATATGTAGGACAGAATCAGCTGGGGAAGATACAGGTTTGTTAAGTAAACCTCAGAAGTAAAATAGTGTTTTATTTCCTGGCAGCAAAAACAGTTTAATTTGGAAAAGGAACACCATTGTAGACAACTGTGTAGAGCAGACCTGGGCATTTTATGGCCCACGGGCAACATCCGGCCCTTTGGCTATCCCTGTCTGGCCTGTGATTTCGTTTATGGCTGGCTGACAGTGGATGCTCCAGCCTCCATGCGCCCTCCACTTGGTTGCTAGTAGGGATGTTCAGATACCAAGTACCGTACTCAATACAAGTACATGTACGGCATTGTAATAAATGCCAAGGGGTAAATTATTATCTACATTTTTCAACTCCATAGATCTGACATTGCAGTGTTTTACACCATATGTGTGTATTTCTGTAAATGCTTATTAGCCCAGCTCCTGACAAAACATTTTATTTAATTTTCGATAGAGTGTGGAAGGGTTACCATTTTTTTTAGGTTTTCATTGCTTATTAGCCCAGCTAATGGGGCCCTGGAGTCTCTAGACTAGACTAGAGAGAAATTTAAAAGTTAGGAGGCAGCTGTTATTTTAAGGAGCATAAAGAGCTCCTGAGATTTGTGCATCCCTGTTTTAATGTACCCTGTTTCCCCAAAAATAAGACCTACCCCGAAAGTAAGACCTAGCACTATTTTTCAAGGTTCCTGTAATATAAGACCTACCCCGAAAATAAGACCTAGTTTGGTGGTAGCATGTGAGGGGGAACTTGCAGGAGAGATGGTATCAGCCTGCAGGGACATACTGTATTAAGGGGATGACAGGGGACTCCCCCCGGCCAGTGCAGTGACAGGGAGCACTCCAGTACCATATTATAAATACATATAAGAGATGCACCGATACCATTTTTTTAAGTACAAGTACTGATATTTTTCCAAGTACTCACAGATACAAGTACTGATACATTTTTGTTTATTGTCATGTGACAGTTTTTCTAAAACAATACCCACTAATGATTACAGGACAGTGGTGGAGCACCAGAGCCAGGTCCCAGGTGCAATAGCTGCAACCCTGGTAGTTCTCTTGAAAATGCCACCAAGTATCGGCACTGGTATCTGAAATGGTATCTGAAGATCCCTAGTTGCTAGGACTGCTAACATCCTAGCAACCATTGGCGTAAGGTACCCACCTTCTTTGTCAGCCATTGGTTGCTAGGACCACTGTACAGTCCTAGCAACCAGTGACATCAAATGTGGTCCTGGCCCCCAGCATTTGGACGTTCACAGCAGTTTCTCACGTGGCCCCTTGAGGAAATAATTGCCCACACCTGGTGTAGAGCAAACAATTAGTTAGTCAGTTAGATTACCTCACAGTTATTGCCGGTAAAGCTTAACAGTGACGTGCGGTACCTTCACTTCCTGGTGAGGCATTCCCCAGCCCAGCCCCCAGGATGCCCAGCCCCGCCCCCAGCAGGCCGAAGCCCCATCAATATCCAGCCAAAGCCCTGTCCCAATCCCTACAAAGCCCCGGTTAGTGTGAAGGAGGGAGGGAGGAGGAAGGGAGGAGACAGGGAGGAGCCTCCATGCTCGTCACTGCTGAGGCATCGAGATCGATAGCCTCAGTGGGTTTTTCTTTTCTTTTTTTGATTGGACAGCTTGGACCAATGGCACTTTGCCAATGGTCAAAATCATCCACAGAGTTCACACATCTAACAAATAGTTGAGGCTGTGACAGCTCTTGCCTCAATAGTTAGGTTACACAAGCAGTGGAGAAGCCCCCTGCTGTGTAACCTTACTACCTGTCAAAACCCGGATGCAGCACTGCCTGTAATTAACAGGCAGCACTCCATCCATGACAGGTTACACAGTGGGGAGGCTTTCCCTGCTGTGTAACCTGTTACAAGCCGATCTGAATGGAGAAAAAGCTGTCAGCTTCAGACTTGAAGCTGACAGCTTTTTACTCCACAATACTAGGTGAGGCTCTGCCTCACCTGCATCCCCTGACCGCACGTCCCTGAAGCTTATACTAAATCTAAGAGAGAGATCAGACATCATACATTTATTTGAAGCCTGATACAACATGTTTTTTGGGTTCTGGCAAAATTAGGTACTAGAGAAATATGTTGTATTAGAATTGCAGAATACATGTATTTTGTGCATCATTTAGGTGCCCATTCTCTTCCTTGGATATACTTTTCTAAACTTCAGTATAGCTGTATGGTATGGGCACAAGCTTGGGCTCCATTGCTGCCACCGCACTGCTTTTCACCTAGAGCAGCCACCTTTTGAGGAAACCTCTGCAGCAGATTATAGAGTCTGGGATGAGTGGATGCAACCCAACAAGGACAGGCCTTGATCATTGTAGTCAGGGATTAAATAAAGTCAGGGTGGTCAATAGTGGTACAAGTGAGGTCTAGACAAGCAAGTCCACAACATAGGTCAGACAGAGATGCAGCAAAGGGTCACACCCACCAGTCAAATTAGGACACAAGCTGACACCCAATGATGCATGGATCTGCTTGGTCAGAATGTGCAAAAGCATTACAGCATACTAATGCAGATGCATGGACTGGGGAGGGAAGTCTGCAGTTCAGAAGGGCCCAGCGGGAAAATGATTTATGTGGGATCTGTACTGTTCAGGCAGCTTTCTGACCCAGGCACCCCTACCAGACAGCACTGCTAGATTCTCAACCTTCACTGCAGCAGCAGCACAACTTGGTCAAAAACATACCCCTAGCTTGCTTATGTTGCAGTGAAGGAGCAACATCGTACTGATAAGGTCATCTGTCTGCTCAGTCAGCTTTTATAATATTTACTGTCAGCACATGGGCATGCAGCAGAAACTGATTAGCTCCTAATCCTGTCCCTTGCTTTTCCAGACTGCTGTACAAGAGATTATATCATGACAATTTCAGATACCTCCAATAGTAGCATTTGAAAATGCATTTAATGATTTTTGTAACAATACAATTTCAACATATTTGTTTCATAAATACTTGGAGATCAGCTTTAAGCTAATCACACTTATTTATACAGCCACACTCTAAAAAGACTATAAATTCTCATTTAGTGTTTTTTAAGTATTCACTCATATGTGCAATAATCTATAATCAACTTGTTTTATTAAGTAGCACTTTATCAATGCTTCTAAAATGTTCATTTTCTCTGGCTTCTACATTAGGGTGGTTAGTTGAAGTGGCTCTTTTACTGATACTATGACCTATATCTCAATTAAGGATACTAAAAACCGCTAGGAACCTTCCTGGAGGTGAATGGTTTTGTATAATGCAAATAAGAAATATGATTGATAGTGCTGGCTTACCTCTAGAGTAAGTTTGGGGTAGTTCACCATTCCCCCGATCCAGGAAAAGGCAGCATTGATGAATTCAAGCAAGGCCATAAATGCAATCAGATTGGCGGCAATATTGGCAACCAGTCCCACCGAGGTGGAGGCCCCGTTGCTGGCAGCTTCTAGTATGGTCCTTTCTTCCCTTTATTCACAGAAGAACATACACAACATGATGATAAAATAATAAAACGTGCTTGAGATATAATGGGACTTATAGGGAAAATAGGTCATTTTAACCTCTGAAATAAGCAAGTATTATCTATAACTAATTATATTACTGTTCTTCATATTAGATCATAAGATTTAATGAGCACATCTCCCATACTTTCTGCCTTCACTATATCCTTTGTTATTAGTATGTGTGCTTACTGTTTTTCTTGCAGAATCTATAGGAAATATATACACAAAGGATAAAAACCTTCCTATTGGATTGAAAGATCTAATGAGTACATCCTCTAGGGCTGAGGCTGCATTCACAATAGGGCATTTTTGTGCTTTCTGGGATTCCTGCGGCAAGAACCTGCAGATTCTTGCTGCAGGGATCCCAGGTAAGCCCATTCAGATGCAGCTGCTATGGTCATTCATGTAAATGACAGGCTGACAGCAGCTGCATCTGTCAGTAAAAGTCTGCAGTGACATCATACATGGTACGATTATCTGCGGTTAAGGATAGATGATTGTCCCTGGATGCAGGGGTTTGCTTATAAACAATAACATCAAAAGGCAACTGTTCATTATAACTTTTAGACTGTGACTTTACCCATGGATCAATAGTCAAAAGAAACCCATCGCACACCTGACCGGACAATATCCCAGGGATCCCAACCTGAAAGAAGCCATTTCAGGGAGGTGTCCTTCTCATTTCAGGGAGGTGCCCTCTACGCCCCCCTCCCCCCCATCCGCGGAGGGGGGTTAGGGGGGCTGGGAGAGAGCACCCCCCTGAAATGATGGCAGATAGCACAGGAAGCAATAGCTTCTTTGCTATCTGCAGGTTTTTTTTCTGATTTTGTTTTTAGTATTCTGACAGTTGCAGTCGTCAGAATATTAAAAAAAAAGGCATAAGAATCCATAGCTAGATTCCTATTGGCTATTGCACTTTGCAATAGCCAATAGCAAACTAGCTATTGCACCCGCCCTCTGCTGCTTTCAATCACCAGAAGAGGACCTGATAGAAAAATTCAGGTCCCCCTCTGCTGATTGACAGCAGCAGTGGGCGGGTACATTACCTAGTTTGCTATTGGCTATTGCAAAGTGCAATAGCCAATAGGAATCTAGCTATGGATTCGTATGCCTTTTTGTTTCTTTTCTGACTGATGGTCGGGCCACGGCTCCCGATGTCAGAAAAGAAAAAAAAAAACGATCGCAGGGAAAGGTTTATCTGCTCGATCGAGCAGATAAACCTTTCCGGGAGGAAGTGTTTCTCTCCCGGGCGGCCGGGAGCCGCTATCCAATAGCGGGAGACTCCCGGAGCGTCCGGGAGAGTTGGGATGTCTGATATCCTCAAGTATCGGGTGGGTGCCAAGCGACCACGGATGCCTCCACAAATCAGTATGAATATGAAGAAGTCACTCTCACTCCAGCTCAAGTTCAGTCAATATTTTATTGACCTCTGTGGTGTCACAACATGGCTAGGGGGCAGTTTTAAAAGCAGCAGAGTATGATGAAGAAAGAGAAGCAATAGAGCAATAGAGAGTAGGTCCAGGCAGAGGCGTAACTAGAACCTTCAGGGCCCCGGTGCAAGAAACCATGAAAGGCCCCCCCCCCCCCACCCCACATTC